ACACCCACACGCCCACACCCACACCCCGTCTTAAGTGAAGCTTTTTTCTCGAAACAAAAAAAACCTGTGCAGTTTGCTGTACTTAACCATCGGTAATACCTTTGAGAGATGTTTTGAACTGATTTAGATCAAACAAAGTCTATGTGCCTGCAAATATCAGTTGAATAGAAAGCTTTTCACTAGACTACTAGCTATCGCGTTGGAAAAAACAAAATTTTTGGATACGATTCTGAGCTTTTATTTCACAGTGATGGAACCAATTATGGTAGTGTAGTCAACAAAAAACATAGAAACTTAAAGAAAAATAGATTTCGTTTTTGAAAAACACAATGTTCAGCAGTCTTTGGGCAGCCCTGTATTTATCCTTGGTTTTTGATTCAAGTCTGGATCTGGCCCAGACGTCATGTTTTCTCTCTTGCGCGATCGATCTGAAGAACTTTTCACGTTATTGACTACATTACAGCTGTCGGTGACAACAGATTCTAAAAGAGATCTTTGCTGGATGTTGGTCTGTTTCAATTGATAGTTATCTTCAGTCACAGGCGCAGTTGTCAATGGATGCTGTTGTAGAGTTGAAGAAGGTCGATCGTTTGATACTACTGGCATTGGGGTACCAGTTGTAGACTCGTGTTTGTCAGGCTGGTTTATTATTAGAACTCTTTTCCTGGAAGAAACGTAAAAGAAAGAATCTATATGAGCCAGATACAGCTGTCGCCCAAAAAACTTGCAGAAAATTACATTTTTTGTGTAACGGTTTTCTTATCGTTAGAAAGTAATTACGAAATTCATTTTTCCAGGGATATATGTTCGTTAGCTATACTACACTTTAACCATACAGAAATGTGATTTCTTTTCTTTTCGATACATATACATTTAATCATGACATCATGTAATGATTTAAAAAATCATCATATATCGATATTATATTTTTGGAATAAAGGTGTACGATCTGCTCCTGCTATTCATCATGAAACAAATATTCCGCTTAGGACTATCTATTACAATATCAACAAATTGAAACAAACAAATTCACTTAAGCACCGAGGCGGAAATGGTCGACCACGTGTCCTTAGTGCAATAGAAAAAAAAGCAATTGGTCAATATATTCGACGTAATAATGAAATAACTGTTAATGAAATCAAAGAAAAGTTATCGACAACATATCATTCATCAGTATCTGCAACAACAATACGTCGTCATCTTCATGAATATGGTTATAGAAATGTTTTACCAAAAAGTACTCATATGTTAACATCTGATGATAAAAAACGACGTGTTCAATGGGCTAAACAGCATAAAAATGATAATTTTACACGTACAATATTTACAGATGAAGCTTCTTTTCAACTTTTTCGTAATACTGTTCGTCGTTGGTCCAAACATCCAAATGATGAATATAAACGTATACCTAAAAATCGTCAAAAAGTTCATGTCTGGGGTGCTGTTAGTGTGAAAGGTGTGTTGACCTGTCACACATTCAGATGCAACCTTGATGGTCCGTATTATGTTCATATACTTAAAAATTTTCTTCTTCCTGCTGCTAGGCGTAAGTAATAAACGGAAACAATGCAACAAGTATTTATTTTTTCATTTTAGGTCAATTTCATTGGAATTGGCGTCTACAGCAGGACAATGATCCAAAACATCGAAGTAATATTTGTAAACAATTCATCAGGAAAAATGTACCGGAACTGTTAGATTGGCCATCGAACAGTCCCGATGTTAATCCAATCGAGAACATTTGGTCGATCGTAAAACGCAAAGTTGAAAAGAGAAAACCGAAAAACACTGATGAACTTGAACTCTTTTTAGCTGAAGAATTCAAAAATACTGATATTAATGTTGTAAAAAATTGTGTGATGTCCATGAAAAATAGATGTTTGTCTCTTATTTCTTCTAAAGGTGAACGAATAAAATATTGAAATATGGTGTTTAATAGTACTTGTCGTAGGCTATCAACCACTATAGAAAACTACTTGAGAGTGATATATATATAAGGATATATTTGCATAACAAGATGTGCAAGTTTTTTTGGCGACAGCTGTAATTGAGACTTTTCTCTTTCACTTATACAGCCATGTATTTTAACACAAAATCAGTATTCGAAAATTTGACTCATTTTGCAGTATGAGCAGTACAATACATTCTCTGAACTAGCTTTCTGTTTTAATCCACTATCTCATGTAACAAAAGAGTCTTAGACTGCTAACTATTCTTGAATAATAGTGCGGACCTAATAAATGCGGTCTTCAAAGCAAACAATGAAACTATCTGGGTCAATTTCATCGTGAGTTCTCGATGTACTTGATAGCCTATATACAGTTTTATGTCTGCTTTCTGTAAAAGAAATGAGTCAGACCCAAATACTGTGTAATGTGATATTCGTGTGCATGTTCTTCGATTTAAACATATCATTGGTTCCCTATGTTTCTAAAAAGTACGTAGTCAACAGTGTCCGACACGTGTCACTTTTTTTGTGACCTGACCCAACCCGAGCTCAGCAAAATTAGACCGGAGCCGAGCTCAAAACTTTTTTTCGTAGCCCGACCTGATCAGACCCGAACATATTGTGACCCAACCCGACCCGACCCGAGGTCTGATCCGACCCGAGTCGGACACTGGTAGTCAACTTTATAGTTGAATTAAGACTTCACTTTGTCTTTCACTCTGTGCTTTTGTAATAATTGAGTCGTTTCTCTTGATAAAATATGACTTCCTTGAGAAAGATTTACATAAGGAGTGAATTCATTTCTTTATAGCGAAGCAAGAATTCATGGAACTTTTACTATCATAGAGCAAACATATTTATTGCCTACACTTAAGTTTAGAGTCATTTTTAAGAGCTTTTGCTACGGAACACATATGTAAGATATATCGAGAGGTTATTCTTTTTAATATTTGGGTAATTTGGCAGTTAACTGTTACCTTAGGGTAACATAGGTTTATAGTACGTGCATTTAGAAAGCAGCTGCACAGAATGGTTTGTTCGGTACTTCTCGATTCTGTTGAATAACAGCTTAGCTGTATTTATTACTTCAAGAGGAACAAGTTCTTTCCTTTTACATATCAATTAAGGCGTAACCCAAGTCATGGACTTTCTTACTTTAACAAAGCATCAGAACGTTTGATCAGATACATAACATCTTCATAACATTTGTCTTCCAGTAGGTCAGCAACATAATAAATTGCAGCTGCCATATGATATGACGATAGAGCCATAATAATGTCACCATAGTCTAAATACACATCACCAATGTTTCTGTACAGACGAGCTATTTCGGGATCACTTGCATTAAAATATTCTTCAGAGATTTTCAATGCATTTTTAAGGCACTCTACTGCTTCCAGTAGATCCGATCTGTTGTAATATATGACGGATAAATTCTCTGATAATTGAATTAGATGAAGAGGATCGTTCAAATCCATTTTCACACTTTGTTCAACTGCAGACTTAAATGCTTCTGACGCTTTGTCAAAAGCTCTCTGCTGTTGGTAGATATGACCCATGCTGCTATGGCATCTCACGATTTCTACACAATCTTTGTCTTCTTCTTTTAAGATCTTTAGCGCTTGTTCGTAGTGTTTCAGAGCATGCGCAGCTTCGTTCAGAGTACCTTCAGTTTCGTAAATGAACTTATATACATCTGCCAAAGAAATGCGGCACCTAGCTTTCCATTTCTGACTGATCGTTACACTTTCTGTCAACTGTTTTGCTTCTTCATAGCTGTTAATGGCTTTTTGAAAGTCACGTTTTTCGAAATAGATATTTCCCAAGCTGTTGTGACAAAACATATGGAGCTGTTTCTCAGAAGACAATCTGTCGATTATCCATTTATAATAAACCTCAGCTTGGTGTAGTTGACCTGTTTGCATAATCAACGAACAAAGTGATTCTATATTGATTTCTGATTCAATATTTTGTTTCCAATAAGATACAAAGTCAATAAGGTCATCATCTTCTACACTGGATAGTTTCAATCCTATAATATATTTAGTGGAGCCATCATCTTCCTTATTCTTGTCAACGGATTGAATTTTAAAAAATGTTCCTGGCGAAAACAATACTTTTTTTCTATCTAAAGGCTTGGTCTTCTTTGAAATAATTCCCCACGGTTGTGTTTTAAGATCTCGATCGATTTCAATCTTGAAAAGAACATGCTTAAGACCTTCGTTCGATATGTCACTGCTTCCAATTGAATCTTTCGCTATTTTTTCGTCTAAATATGTGAGAAAGAATGAGTCAATCGATACATATCTATTGATAGAATTTTGCATTTGTTCAACCAAGTTTGATATAAGCAATTCACTTCTATATACTTTAAATGTTTTGTCATCTTGATTCTGCTCATGATTATATTTTTGCTCTAATAATCGGCATATATCAACGATCCAAAATCGAAAGGGCAGTAGAAACTTCAAATCTCTCTCGCGTAGCGCTTTGTTTAACCAGACTCTCAAAGAAGAATCCATGATATAATGTCGAACCGCATCCTCTGAAGAGTATTTGTTTGTGAAATTTTTGATTATCTTCATTTTGTCAGATTTGTCAGGTTTATCTTTATATATTTTTTTAAAATTGTCAAGAAGTTGTTGTTTTTCTATTTCAGCCAAGCTCCTGTGTGTCGAATCCTCCATGTGTTTTAATGTGTTTATAACCAAATAAGTCCATATGAAACGCTTGCTGGCATCAAATTGATTGATATTCCGTTCATTTTTTTCTGGAATGTAGATATTTACTAGAAGCGTATCATCCTCTTTACTTTGATACAAGTTTTGTTCTTCCCATAGTTGCTCAATAAGTGTATCCTGACGATTTACTATGTCTTTCACCTAAAAATGTAGATGGATACGAATTAGAATTTTTCATCTCTGTTTGTGATTCTAGCTGTAAGTAAAACAAATTTTTTCATCTTTACTGAAAATCTAAAAAAAGAACGCTTTTGTGTTCATTATTAGAAGTATGAAATATCTTAGGCTCAAATGAAAACTCACCCTCAAGGTAAGTAGAGATGGAAAAATATTATCCGTTCTCCAATGAAGATTTGCCTGGACGCTTTTTCTTCTCTTCGACTCTTAGAACATTTAACCTGATGTAACAAAATTTAGGACATCGTTTCTTATTCACGGAAAGCACTTAATTCGGATTATTTTTTACTGAAGGATTAATAGAGTTAATTCAATCATGCGCTTTTTCTTTATTTTTTTTTCATTATGGTTGATTCATGAAAAATATCGAAAATGATACTCATAACAATCAGATAGAAATGATTATAAGACACCCTCAATATTTCATCAACACAGGTTCTTCTATTCACTGTCAGCTTTCAGTTCAGCAATTTTAAGTGTCTTTCATAATGAATTTACATAAGCTGAAATAACAGATGAAACAATAGGACCGATTGAAAAATCAGATGATGCTAGCTTCAAATTTTATGAGTTTTATTGTTCAAATAACGACTGCAATGGATGAAAGCTAATAATCTGGATCTGGTATAAAATAAGTTTGAGTCTCTACATTAGAATAAAGATCTACAAGTGCATCTCATTCAGCATGTAATAAAGAAAATTTAAATTGCGTATTGATGAGAAATCTGGTTGGTATTTTATAGAAATCTTAATATAGAATTTGAAAAGAAAATACTTTCTTTTATCGGTCACAGTCTAATCTCATAAAGGTAATGATTGTTTCCGATATCGCAGCTTTCATCTTGAACTTTGAAACAATGTGATTGGTAGATTCAACAGTATTGGAGTTGCAACCGAATCTCACTTTCCTGATGCTGCTCTTACATATCCACTACGAAACGAAACTATGAACTAATTCAGTTATCAAATTTCCTCGGATCTGTAATATGTACCAATGCCTAGATTGAAATTATAGATACATCCAAGGACATTACTTCCAGGAGAGAACTAAATAATCTTAATTGTACTTGCCTTTGGATATGTTTCTTTCGGAAATTTTTTAATGTAATAATCTGTGTTCATGCAATAAACATAAACAGCTTTGACTTGTGTCAGATCATGGAGAATTGGTATGGCAACACCGCCAATCCTACCAGATACTATAAATATGACTTGCTCACTTAGAGCCAGCTGTCGAATATGTTTTTCACATTGTTCTTTATCATCGAAGACGGTCAATGATTTAGTAAGGTTTTTTAAACCTTTTTTTAATGTAGCATTATCTTTAGCATCATGAACTGCCGTGTCTAACCAAATAATTGGCATTGTATTTCCATCCATGATTGGAGGACGGTTTCGTCGTTCAGTGTATGAGTTGAGACGATTCCGACATCGTCCTAAATTTTCATTCGTTTTTGAATTCTTTTCGTTTACAGTTTCTACGGTGACCTGAGAGGACACTCGGCTATTGAAATTCGTCATGCTCATAAATAAAGTATATCATGCGCAAATATTAGCTCACCTTGTTGCTATACATGAACAAACTTGTCTCAAAATTGAATCATGTGGTAACGCCATAGCGACAGTGGGTCAAATAGTTCTTTTTCTACAACAAAATCAAAAGCTGAATCATTTAAGAAATCGGAAGCGTTGTCTCGTTCCCGTTTAAACAAACATACTTGCGAGGGAACCTCCTGAGGTGTGACCCTCAGATTTTAATGATATTTTATCCATAGGTATTGTATGATGCCCTTGTAAAAACCCTAGAAGGATTTCGGTTTCTATCGCTTCTTTCAAAGGTAATGAATACTTTAGTTTTCACCCTATTTAGCAGAATATACAGTACTAAAGAAATGTAATTTGACTAAAATACAATGCTAAAGCCTGAGTTTTCTCTTTCTAGTGTTGTTTAATATAGATTAAATTTATGAATAATTTCAGTCTTATAGTTTTTTTACTGCCACGATGTAGAATTTCGTTTCATCAAAGAAAATCAAAGTGGAGCACATGCACATTA